TCTTCTGTTTAGAGAAAGGTTTAAAATATTAGTTTACAATGAAAAAATTTGAAATCTTATATATTTGAACAAAAGGATTACTGCAGTGATTAACAACAGATGTTTCTACCTGAATGTGGGACTAACGTAATTTGATGTTTACTGTACAGACACTGCTGCTGTGCAATTTTTTTCTATTTCAAATATTAACTGAAAAAAAAAAAAAAAAAAAAAAAAAAAAAGCTGTAAAAGCATACCTATAAACTAACCATAAATCTTATTTCTATTTTGGATGCCTTAATATTTAAAAATAAACTGTTCTACATACTGACCCACTTACATAAATCACATTTCAGTAGGAGAATTTTTTTTTTTTTTTATTATTATTATTTTAAGGTTCCTAACATAATATTTTTGTTTGGAATATGGTTTTCGGTATGGCCACTGCTCAAATTTTCTTCAAAAGTATTAAGCTTTCTTCAAGCTGTTCTTTGGTTTCGAAAGTATTAGCAATTTTTTCGAGTTGTTCTGTTTCAATATTTGCGATTTGTTTGCCAGGCAAAAAGGATGATACTATGCCTCTTATTGGTTTAATACCAAACACAGCTTCATGAGTACTTTGGCATATTCCTTCCTGATATGTAGTGTTCTTGGCAAATTGAACAAAGGGCAACCCATCTCCCCATTTATTTATATCGTTATCGTTAATCCATGCAGTTGACAAATTCTGTATATCTTGATTAGCCCTTTCAACTGAGCTTTGTGTTTTAATATGACGAGGCTTTCCATGAACTATCTTAACATCTTTACACACAGCACATACACTGGTGTGCAAAAATTAAGGACAAAGTCGAAAAATTAGCATATCAGCTGAACGAAGAGGCAGAGCGGACAGAAAGACCAATCAGGAGATTAAGTAAGGTGATGTATGGTAGCACATGCGCAGATATGCAGGTAGACGTAATGGGGGAGTGTCCGAGTAGTATAAAGCATGGTGTCGGTGTAAGATCAGTATTTTTGGCAAAGAGATTGCACGCCGTATAGCAGTTAAAATCACACCGAGTTGTTGCCTCAGCGAGAAATAGCGAATAATCAATCTGTTAGACGACATCTGGATGCTTTTACCAGAGGTCGAATCATTGGGAAGTTGGAGAAGCCGCAGTGTGACAAGTGTGGCTGCAGAGTTCGGAATTGCTCACACATCGTTCACGACTTTGGAGACAATTTTCAAACTACAGGAACAGCTATCCGGGGGTTTAGTAGTGGTCGTCCACGAGGAACCACACTCGCAGATGACCGGTATATTGCCTTACAGGCCAGAAGAAACAGGCGGGAGAAATCACTAGACACACGACACAGGCGACTGGACGACCGATATAGCGTTTTACGATGGCCAGAAGACTGCACGGTGGTGGTCTGTTTGCACGACGCCCTGTACGGTGTGTACCTCTAACGCCTGCCCATTGGAGAAGGCGTTCTCTGTGGTGCCGGGAACACCGGAATTGGAGAGACAATGAATGGGGACGAATAGTCTTTACAGATGAGAGCAGATTCAGTCTGAGTAGCGATTCTCATTGCATACTCATCTGGAGAGAGCGGGGAAGCCGCAATCATCCCTCGAACATCATTGAAAGGGACAGGTATGGAGGTGGCGGTGTTCTCTTTTGGGGAGGCATCATGCTTGGTAGTCGTACAGACCTTCACATCTTCGACGCAGGTTCAGTCAACGGGACCCGTTATTGTAACGAGATTCTTCTTCCATATGTTCATCTTTTTAGAGGCACTATGGGTCCGCAGTTCCTTTTCATGGACGGCAATGCACCATGTCATCGCACAGTAGCTGCCGAACAGCTCTTAGAGAGTGAGGATATTGAATGTATGGATTGGCCAGCACGATCTCCAGATCTTAATCCCATCGAGCATGTATGGGATTTTCTAGGCAGACGCTTGTCAGCTCGTACCTTACCACCAGTAACGATTCCGCAGCTTCTATTGGCGCTGCAAGACGAATGGGCAGCAATGCCTCAACAACTCATTGACACCCTCGTTCTCAGCATGGGCAGACGCTGTGAAACCTGCCTAGCAGTCAGGGAAGATCATATCCCCTATTAAAGACCGGATGTTTCTTGCTGGAGACCCATCACAGGGATGTTTCGGCCTTCAGTCACGTTGCGCTCCATGCTACTTTTTCAATAAAGCTTCTTTTTATCCCTCCGATTTCTCTTTTAGTAAGTGTTGCTTACATTACTCATGTCCTTACGTATTGGGGATCTTAATTGTTCATTAATATTGTTACGAAACGTTCAGGCGCGGTAAGATAGCTTCTCTGCAAAGCAGTTTCAAAGTCGCCATATTTGGCAAGAAATCGCCCATTTGGCAACAAAATTGGCGATATGCCGTGGACGGTGGAAGAACCGTATGGAACGAATTCTTACCGGTTTAGCCCAGAATTTTCTCGAACACAAGCTAAAAACTATGTAAATCTTGCTGGTACGACGAGAGTCAGTGTGTGAGATAGTTAGTCTCGAGTTAGTCGGTCCGTGAGTAGTCTATCCAGTTGACTGCCGAGTGGGTCGTCGAGTGCACCGAAGAGTCTCTTAGTGTATTGCGGTTAGTGCATCGTTGAGAGAGTGTGTTCAGCTCCAGGAACGACCGAACTGAAGAGTCGGGAGCTGTGTTCTGTGTGTAGTCGGGTGCATTGCGAGTTGTAGCGTGGAGAGTGTCGAGAGTGCGTGGAGTTCCAAGAACGACCGAGTCGGGAGCTGTACTCTGGTGCTTTGTAGTGAAGCTTGTCTCCACCGTTATTGCCTGACAGTGTGAAGACGGTATTAAATGTGTTGATTTGGAAAGCTTTTGTACAAAGTTATATTGCAAAATCCGTCTCGTCCTTAATTTTTGCACACCAGCGTAGTTAGGATATGACTTGATTACTGAATTCCCTACCGTTATCCAAATGCAATATAGCTGGAGAACCAAATGTTAAAAATATTTGAAAAAGATGATATGATACTTCTTTAGCTATCTTAATTTTTAATGGTCATAGCTAGACAAACTTCGTTAAATGATCTTGATACACAATAATGAACTTATATTCGCCATCCTGTGTGACTGCAGGTCTAACAGATCAATTTCACATACTGAGTTTAACTCAGAACTGATCACTGGTTTCACAACAATAAGTTTCTTAGGTGCACTATGCTTCATTTGACATTGTTTACATAAATTTAAATACAACACTACAACTTCATATGTAATATGTTTGTATTTACCTTACAAATCTTTAAGCATATGTGTTCTTTCTCCATGGCCTATTCTCGTGTGAGTTTCAACTAGTATGCTGAACAATTCATCATTAGTAGCATAATACTGGACATTCATTTCTTTTGGCTTTAAGGGTACATTTAATTTTTCTTCATCATTAATTTTTAAAACATCAAACGTTTTAATCGCCTGTAATCAAAAGGTGTGTTGCACTTAGTTTTTGCAAAAATTACTTCAGAAAGTATTTTAGAGTACTTTTCTAGTGCAAAATAAAAACAATTGTATTCTTGTTAATGCATTTAACTTTTCAAAGAAAACTTCATGATTCACTGCAGTATCCATTCAATATAAATTAGGGTATACGATTAAAAAAAAAAAAAAATTTAAGAAAACGTTGCGTGTACCATCAAACCTTGCATAAGACTGACAAGCAGTGTTCAAGAGTATAACAAATATATGCCACATAACTTCAATCGCAGCAGAATAAAGGATTTGGTGACAGACTGTCGTCCCTCTGTTGACCTCGACTTATCTTTTCGGCCTCCACTACAGTACATCTGTGATTGTCGGTATATACCGGTGATGGTCCGAATTTATGAGAATATCATTCAATATTCAGTCTTTCACCAACGTATTTGGTATGTGTGGACATTCACCAGTGAATGTCGACATTCTCTAATTTCGGTCTTTTACAGTAACACAGATACATTGTAATAGTCTAGGTAAGCAGCCACAATACACAACAGCAGCCAACCTTGAAATCTTAAAAATGGGAAGATTTTTCACACTATGTGGCAATACCATTTTAAATGAACTTCATACTGATTTTAATTCACTTTATAATGTACAGTTCAGATTACCTATTTGTAATACAATTCTAATGTAATATATATTAGCATTTAATTAGACATTCTAAATGTTAAGATTGCTTGGCTAATTTAATATTTAAATTTTTTTAACATTTATACTGAGAAAATCCTGAGAAATAAAGGAAAGCTTTTATTAAGTAATTTTAAATATGATGAAAATAAAATTAATAATTAATGTACACAGTATTTGTGTGGATAAACTTCCTAATGTACCATATATTAAAGTATGAATGCAAATATTAACTGATTAAACCTTGCTTGAATCTTCATTAAAAACCTACAGATGTCTGTAGTAGATTAAAACAACTCAGATAAAATGAAGTTCAATCAGAAAAATTGAATAAAATCAATAAAATGTAATTTAAAAAAATTCAATTCGAATGAAAAAAATTCAATAACAAAAATTACCCTGAAAATCACTAGAGGAAAGGAATTTGCCTAATTAAATTACTTTAATTAATTTCCTTTATTCCTGGAAAACCTTTCTTAGGCTAAAAATTAAAATGAGATACAATGAAAAACTTGAATTGACAATTATGATACACTTTCAGGACCTTCATTTCTGGACTGGAGCTCTGACTATTCATTCATAGGGTACTAAATTTTCTCAGTTAGCACGACAGTTTATCAACAAATGGCATTTCATTTCAATACCATTCTTTTTTCTGATGTGCCAATTTATGTCTTACAGTGTACATTGCATTTAAAATTACACTTACAGTGTACATTGCATTTAAAATTAAAACAAAATGAATGACTTCTGAGAAACACAAGTGTTGCAACACTTGTGCAGTGAACTAAAACTACCACACAAAATCTTGATATGATCTTAATTTTTGTTTATTATATGCAAAAATTAAGAAGAAATGGAAGTCACTTAAAAAAGAGGAATCATTTGGTCAAAAATTATTTATTACTTGAAGGAAACTGTACATCGTAAATAATTTTGTTCCATTTCTTTTTCTGTATATCATGATTGAATGTTATACAGGTTTAGCATGCCTGTACCCTACTAAAGAATATTCTTCTGCTTGCCCATGCATAGTTTTTATCAACCTGAAAGATTTAATATGCATATATATATATACATAAACACACATTAAATGACACTTGAAAAGAAAATAATGTAATAAATTATGATCACAATTTTTTTTCAATCTCAAAATACAATATATTTACTTACCAATAATCCTAGTGGTAAATTAAAACTCTACATTCTCATATTATCATGCAGCATACCGACGATGCCGACGAAACATTTGGGAATCCTGACATTTGGCTGCAATAAGAGTCATATTTAGTATTCTTCACATTTAATAAAAATAACACTAAAGACTTTTGATGAACATTTTAAAATTCTTAACAGCATTTAAATCAACAATTAATCTTGACAAGAAAATGACAGTTGCAATCGTTTGCAAGGTTGAGACCTTGCCAACCGAAGATGTGAATTTGAGGGTTTGCCATCAAAGCCTGGGCTCGAATTAACACTGGAATGCCAAGTTTTCGGTTTTATCCATTTTGTGCACTCTCTGTGAGTTTTTCACTAAACTGATTGTGCAACTTTTGGTCTTGTTCATTTGCTCTCCCAACACTGTTGTAAGTTCAGGTTGGAATTCTAATATTCCTCTTTTCTGCCTCTCAGAGTGGAATGTGACCGGTAATTATTGCTCATCTGGATGAATATTATCACCCCTCTTAATTTGTAAAAACAATTTAGAATCACCCTGTATATAATACTTCATAAAAATTCCTATTTTTCAATGATATCAGGTAAATATATTAATTAAAGATAATTTACTTAATAACAATCTACTATGAGAAGCATATATTAGACTGTGCATAATTGAGATTACCAGATATTAAATATACATATAAAGTTATAGGTTTTCAAACATTCAATTTTTAAAACAGTCTCTTATATTAGAGATGTATTTTATAAATCTGCATTTATTATATTTTTCTTTATTTATTATTCATTTTTTGTTCTTCTATTTTAAACAACTACTACGATTATTTAAAACACTTTTAATTGATAATTTATTAAATAAAAATCTCTGAAAGTATATAATCGATTCAAAATAAGTACAGTACAACTCCAAGACTCCAACTTATCCGAACTCCAACTATGCGAATCGCTGATTATCCAAATCGCTTTCAGAATTTTTTGAGGGGGAAAAGGACGCTCAAGAAAAGAAAAGGGACGAGACAGAAGAAGAAGAGGATGAAGTCTCACTTGACGAATTAAGAAACATTCTTTTGAAAATTCCTGGATTTCAGAAGTTAGTGCTGCGGATACAGCAGAATAGATGGTGTATGATTATTCGTCAGACCCTGGGTTTCAAATTCTAAATCATAATGAACTTATTGAAAGTGTGAGAGAAGAAAGTGTCAAAGATGAAGATGACCTTAATGTCAAAGTTGAGGCAGAGACGGGTCCATCAGTTAGTGAAGTGTTTGCCTGCCTTGAAACTGTGTGAAAGTGGATGGAGCTTCAACCCAAGTGAGACCACATGCAAAACTGCCAAGCGGATGGGCAACATGGCTGCCCGAAAACATATAAGACAGTCAAACAGCTTACTTTGACCGAGATGTCCAGCAAGCAATGACTTTCAGCACTTGTAAGTGCTGTACAGTACACTATATAACATGTACATAAAAGTGTTGCCTTTTCATTTTAATGAATTAAAACCTCTTTTTTTTTAAAAAAAATAGTTTTTTCTTCCATTTCAACATATAGTAATTAATTAAAATGTACGTAGACCCTTTCTTCGGAAAAAATACAATTATCCAAATGGGGTTTGATCCCAATTGATTCGGAAAATTGGAGTTCTACTGTAGTTGAATTTTGAATCAGCTGGAGCCAACTCCTCGTTGGGCGGAGCACACGATCTGATAAGTTTGACTTCCGTGATATGCCTCCATCTATCCATGAAAGGATAAGTTAAATATACCATGAATACCCTTAGTTTATTTCTATAAAATGGCCGAATGATTTGGTATCGGATTTTATTTTTCATCTCATAATTAAAAAAAAAATTGGCAGCACACAAAAGGGCTGCAGCACAGTGGTTGAGAATCACTGTTCTAGATCTTAATACAATAAATACTGTCTGACAAGATTCTGAGACATAACCAAATGAAATTTTGCTTAGGATCTTAACTATGTGTTACATAAGAGTTGCTTCTACAAATATTATAGGACCACATATTTTAATCTGAGGTTTCTGTGAAAATTATGCACTCACATCTACTGATACCTTCACAGATAAAAATGTATATGCTATTTTTTTAAAATATTATAATCTGTTGCACAAGGCAGTGAAACTGCAATATATGTATTTAGTATGCAGTTCCCTTGCTTAACTGATCCTTTGTCAAATTATATCATGAAGATTCCCCTTAACTGATGTCTGTTTCTATATGAGAATTTCAGTTTGATACCACTGTAGCATTAGATTAATATCAATAATTATCAATTATCAGAAAAATTTTAACTTAATTGACTTTTTTTTTTTTTTTTTACCTTTACGATCATTCAGGTAAGATTCATGCATGGAATATAGTTCTGGATTAATTTTCTGTTTAGCCTGCTTTAAAAGAGATAAAAGATCTTTGGTTAAACTAGCATTATTGGATGTGAAGAAAGAATGGGCAATTCCAGTTGCATGGCCACGTGCAGTTCGTCCAATTCTATGAATATAATCTTCAATAGTGGGAGGAAAGTCGTAATTTACTACATGTTGCACATCAGGAATATCTGAAAAAACAAAGAAATTTTTTTAAAACACTGATATTACCAGAATACAAAATATCAATATAAGTAATCAGAATACAAAAATTTGAATAAGGATTATTAAAATATGTATATAGATAGCTAATATTTATAGCCAACAAATAAATTTATTCTTATGACTAAAATGGTTGTACATTTTTTAACTCAATTAATTTAATATTTTTTCATATTAATTTCTTCTAATAAGAAGTACATACAGGAAACATATACTTTTATCTTACATTTTTCCTAAAGTTAGCCCATAAAACATGAATTAAGCACTTCTATTATTACTCAGTTGGTTAAATTTATTAGCAAAAGTTTAGGACTATCTACTTAACCCCTTTCTCGACAGAATAACCATTATAATGGCACTAGTATGACCATTATAATGGCATTCAAACAGGGCCATTATAATACCCCTGTTTGAATGGACGGGGTTATACACTCATGAGGCCATGTCTTTTTCTCCATTTTCCAGGCTGAAAAAGTTCTGATGAAATGTCAAATTTTAGGTCACTGAGGTATTATCCACTTACCTTTCAAAGGCATTTGTAATGAAGATCCATTTTTCTTATTTTTTTTCTTTTCATTCATAAAGCTACAGAATTTGGGATAACTGCATTCTTATATCATAAACAGAGCTTCATGTTGCGTCGGATCATCGCATATCTTTCTAAAATTTCTCGGAATTATTTTGCTTTAGTTTATAGCAATTTTCTAAAAACAAAAAGAGGATTGTCTGAAGAAGAAATATGAGAGCTTCAAGAGACTGATGATGAAATACAGAGAACGTGAATATGATTGCATGCTAGATATAGAAAATGGATCTGAAAGTGAACATAAGGATATAGAAAGAACTTCATATTTAGTGACAGATTTGCTTAATTATAGTGATAAATAAGCTGATAACAGGAATAAAATCTTTCTTGATGCAAAATTCATATGGCTTGAACCAAAACATGATGACAAGGTAAATGTTTTACATTTTATTAGCAGAAACAAAATAAAGCTACAAAGGAAAATAAATTTTTCAAAAATGTTTTCTGGTGAAATACTATTGAAAAAACTGTCGAGTAAAAAAAATTATTATGCAGAATAAATATTAGGGCAAAATTCCAGTTTTAGCACTGAATTAGAAAAAAAAAAAAAAAAAAAAAAAAAAAAAAGGCACAGAATTACATGGAAGGATGTTAAAGAAAATGAACTGCAAAAATTTTTGGTATTGATATTACTGATGGGGCATATTCAAAAAGAGAAGTTAAAAGAGTGCTCGTCAATTGATGAAATGTTTGAAATAACCGTTTTTAAGAAGACTATGTATGCAGAAAGATTTTTATGAATTCTTCGTTTTTTGCACTTTTGAAGATAACATGTCATCATCATATAGAAATGATCCTAATTACAGTCAATTTTGGAAAATACTGGAAATATTTGAGTACTTAAAAAAAAAAAAAAAAAAAAAAAAAAAAAAGAGAGAAGTATATGAGCCCTCCAAAAAACTGGCTGTTGATGAAGTAAATGTTCCATTTAAAGAGAGAGTAATTTTTAAACAATACACTCCTGAAAAGCATAACCATTTTGGATTAAAATTTATATGCATCATCCAAAAAAATTAAAATATTTGGAAGAATTTTTTAATGTAACTTTAATACAAAGCTATTACAGAAATAATTCTTGTAAGCACTTTGTAAAGACACATAATTTTGTAATGATTTTAAAATTTGAATAAAATTTTTGTAAAAAAAGAAAAGTTATGCACTATAAATGTAAAGAATAACCTTTTTTTTTTTCAACTGAAGTTTACATTCTCTTCTGCATATCATCGAGTAAACTGATTTTGGATAAACTGGAATTTGAAATTTTTTTTCAATGAGGAAATACATCCAGAAATCCAGTCACTAATCTTTACATTTTCCTTCCTTTTGTGAAATAAATGCAACCCACTGAGAATCTTTTAAACTACACATGAGGATCTCTGTTGCAAATAGAAGTTGATTTCTTAAGTACACATTGGTCAATTTCACTGATGGACATTTTTTTATTCTGATTTTGGCAACACTGGTTGAGCAAAGAAACTGAGAGAATTTGTGAACTTTACATTACATCAGTATATAATATGAAGGTGTTTGGTAACGACAAGTTTTCTGCTTTTGTAAACTTTTCAAAATTGTAATACATTTTTTTTCAGTCATATTTAATAATCTTTGTTTGTTAATTTAAATATTCTTTAACCCTTTTGCATCAAGAGAGGACCAAATCTGTCTCTCTTAAACATCGAAAGCGCCCTTGTGTACGAATTTCTCCTGCAATGGTTCTCCTTCCCCCATGGCAAGTAGAATACTACAGCACTAACAATAGCCTGCTTAAGTAAAGCAACAACTTCTTTCTTGGACACTTTCACCACTGTGGGTAGTTTCCCTTGCAACTTCGGGCATCAACAGCTAAACATTCACAGTAAACAAAGGAAAAATTAAGGCGCATTAAAATAACAGAACTACTTTTATTTGCTTAAGAGAATGATTGGCATGTCACTTAACAACTCCCGATAGCAATGAGCAATGCACTAACGTGATGGGGGAAAGCACTATATAGAAAATGATTCAGGCATTCGGGCAACCCAGCCAATGTCTGAACGGTCGGGCATTTTGGACGTCTTTGATGTAAAAGAGTTAATTTTTTATTGCCATATGATGTTTTTTAAATAGTAAAAAAGGTTTAAAAACATTAAAAATGCACACACAATCAAAATGACCGCATGTGTACCTTTGTGTTATAAAGAACACCAGGTGTTAAAGGGTAAATTAATTAGGTTCAAGAAAACATAACCTTTTAAGGTTCTAACAGTTGCCTAAGCCCTGGGCCAAAAAGTTAAGAGGAAGGCATGCTTCAGATTTTCTACTGGTAGCGGACTTTCTAAGAACTACTGAGGCATATTCTCATAACGCATAAAAGAAAACAGAGCATGCTGCAGACAGCAATTAGCAATGAGAAACAAAATGAAAATTAAATAGTTTAATTCAAAGAAAACCATTCAAATCTCACTTCCTTTGAAAAGGTAACTAGATGGTAGATAAGAAATGGCTTCATATCTGAATGAATATTAAATTCATATAATCTTATTTTAAATACAATATTTAATTTGGTTTGATATGTCAAGAGGGGAAGCAGAAATCTGCTGAATGAATACTTTCATTTGACTTTAGAAAAAAAAAAAAAAAAAAACTTACCTAAGCCACGAGCAGCGACATCTGTTGCTAACAATACCACTGATTTTTGCTCTCGGAATGCTGTAAATAAAGCAATCAAATAATTACAATATGATTTATAAATATAAATTTTTTATTCTATAATAATTGCATTACATTCATTTTATAATAATATTTATGAAGACTTCATAACAACTCTTTTCTTTTATATGAAAATTAAGATAATCAGAAAAAATTTTAATTTTGAATAGCTTCCTAAGTCAACATATCACAGCATTATTTCTTTTATTTTAGGTATAACCCATTAAGCATCAAAAGTACAAGAAATAATTTTTTCTTACACTAATAAGTATTAAATTAAATATAAAAAACTAAAACTACACTCAGTGGCGTATGCCCAGAACAAGTGGTCAGCTTAATCGCAGGACCCCAAGTGTTTAGTCCCCAAGCGAACTTGGTACTCATTTTATCGACCCAAGGGATGAAAGGCTGAGTCCACCTTGTCCAGCCTGGGAATCAGACCACGGACCTGTGGCGCTGCTGCACGATGCGCTAGCCACTGCGCCACCGGGCCTAAATATTAAATATTTATAACATAAATTTACACTGAAAATTTTTTAAAAAATGCTCTTACTTGTGAAAAATCGAGTGTTGTACTTGCACAATGTCAGTGGAATAATAATACAGATATTTAGTGAGTATGATTGTACTCATACAAAGTTTTCTTCGAGTGGAGCACTGAATTACTTTTTAGCGTTTAGAAGTTTTATAAATATACAAATCACTTTACTTTCAATTAATATTAAAATTTAGATTGCATTTCTTTTACAAATAAAGATTATTTTCAAATGAATAATTCAAGCCTGAAAAGTTTTACTACAATTATAATATAAAGCTACATTACATATTTTGCATCTATAAACAGTCTGGCTACGGCATTCTTTACAACGAAGTCTTCCGTTATCCTCAGACTTTACGATAAAATGTCTACCATCTCCATGCACTGGCTTTTGAATGTTAAATTTACTAGATCTTCCTGTTATTGATCTATTTCTGGTTAATTCTACTCCCTAATTAGAATTTCGCAAAAGAAATAATGCAATCTCGCATCTGAAATCTAAAACAGACTTTTTATTTCAAGTAGTAGAAAGTCATGGTATCATCAATGCATTTCTCAAGGATACATCAATGTAACTAGTAAATACTGGATACCACTTTTTGCCACAAACTCTTATTTTATAATGGCTAATGAGGCTGAGATATAAAAACCTTTTCCCTTTGCGTTCTTGAATACTAAAAAACACTTTTTATGGGTTGAATTTTTTCAAATGTTGAACCAAGAGTTACAACCAAAGTGTCATCCCATCAGACAAAAATTATTTTGTTTTTCTCTTCATACTGGAAATCATAGTGCTTCTGTCTTTCTTATGGACACATTTCACCGTTTCTAGTGAGCACATTTGAGTGGAGTTTCTTGAATTGTTCCTGCTGCATTAAAGCTTTATATTTTAGATGACAGAGAAGATAAAATTATATCATCAAGACTATTCCATTTTCATCTGATCATGACGATGGTTTTATTTTTATCCATTTCAAGTTTTCAGTTTTCTGTTTTTTAAACTTTTTCATATGACTAGCACTGTTTTTAGAAGGCTGAAACTTAGTTCTTATGTGAACTTCAACTTCCCCAGCAGTATTTGTAGTTCTTATGTGAACTTCAACTTCCCCAGCAGTATTTGGTTAAATATCATTATCATTATCATTATTCATGGAACAACAATATCAGCTTCATTCTGGTCAATATCATCATTACCGTCATCTGTTTCTTCATCAAAAAATCTCTGAACGGCTTCTTCTAATGTAAGGTACTTCATTCTAAGCATTTTTAAAGCACAGAATGAATATCTTAACACCTATACCAGCACAACACCTATTTTCCTTTCCATTCTCCTACAAACAGCTGTTTGATGGAATGTTCTGATAAGTGGTGACCTTGGCTAAATACAAATCACCCTAAAAATGGCGATTTATTCTTTGAATTTTTCGGCAAAAATACCTGATTGAAAATTTTATTTAAATTTTTATTCAAGCATGAGACTAATTATTATAAATAAAATTACGGTTGAAGACAAATATTGTTTTACAGAAATGATCTTCATAAGATTCCCTACACAAAATCATCAGCTAGTAAAAGTATCCTTGGTAATTATATTTTTAAAGGCATTTATTTTGAACGTTGCATTAATGCAACACCAGCGGCTAATGGGTTAAAAGATGTTTCACATGATTTAATAGATTAAAAAAAAGTGGAAACACTTAGAGACTTTTCCCATTTAAATTAATAACTTCCCCTCAGCTTTGTCATTTCTATTTACAGAATGGTTTCAGGGTAACAATGAACTTTTGCAAAACAGGCCAAACTGTTATGCGGGGGGAAAAAATAAAAAAATTATTTTTAGAAGTTTTTAAAAAAAATCAATAGACTGCCCTTATCAAATCAATATTACAGGATCATTAAATCAATGTAATGACATAAATTAATCATATTGTGATATTGAAGAATATACTAAAATCTCACTGAGAGCCATTCATTTAAAGCGATAAAACTGACATTTATATAAAATACAGAAAATAACTACTTACACCGTAAAACATGATCCCTCTGACGTTGTGACACATCCCCATGTATGCACATTGCATGAATTCTGAATAGAAAAAATAACTACTTAGGTTATGACAATAAGGAGAAAATCCAAGGGAAAAAAAAAGGGAGAGAGAGAGAGAAAAGAAAAAAAAAAAAAAAATATCATAATAGCTAAATATTAAAATAATATTCTTTTAAAAATAAAAGACCAGCAACAACTTTAAAAAATGGAAATATTTCATTTAAGAATTTATTTTTAATACCTAAAACTGTTTCACAATGCAAAGTGCAAAATATCTGTCCAGGGAAAGCAGAAACTGATGCTCGGCAATAAAGCCTTTGATTTTGAAATTACTTTATTTATTAATGAAGTGTATTACTACTCATTAACACAAGCCATGTTAGTCATTTTAAAACAATCTGCAAATCTTAATAACATTTTGTACAAGTCTTATTTTTATACCATCAGTACAAGAAAAAAAAAAAAAAAAAAAAAAAAAAAAAAATCAAATGCAATATAATGCATACTTTGATTATAAAAATTTTCACTCTACTTTTTGTAAACAGTACAGTCTGTATACAAAATACATAAGAATGTAGCCTATGAACAATAGCAATGAAATGTACTAACATATGGGAGGGAAGTAAAATGTATGACTTATTGGAATAAATTACAGATGTGTGATTATAGTTTATATCACACACCACACAAAAACCATGTATTTACACGCATTTATTTTCTTTGCATAAATGAACTTAGAAACAGGGGGGAGTAAAGAAAATAAAGAAATAAATTTACTTTTCATGATACAAAATACTAAAAATTCTTATATATGATATGTTTCCCTACAGTTTAGCCTGAATTGAAATAAAGATTTTTAAACATCCTTTGTTTTTCAAAAAAGCAGACAAAATATTTAAAATCAAAATATTACAGTACAAAGTCCACATGCTGAAAAATTACTAGGTGTGTGGGAATCAGAACTTGTCCAATTTAAGTTTCATTAATCCAATAAATTTCATTTATTGCGAGAATTGTTTCCTAGAAAAGGATAAGCATTGAATACAGGAAATATGATGAAAAACTGGGAGAATTGGCAACTACAGCATAGAGTTTTCTTTGGAATTTTGGAATGCCTGCAACTGAATAAGACCATCAATAAACTCTTCATTGTGACTCAAAGAAGCTTGTTAGCATGAATGTACTCTGCCTCAAACTCTAATTACTCTGTCAAAAGTGAACACATCCCAAACTTGCTGTAATTATAACAACTCAACAGTTTTGATTGAATTTTATGGCTTTTGTACATTACATAAAGTCGCATATTACATAAATCAGGGATTACTGTACGTTATTGCTGGAAATAAATGAATAAAATATATTACCTATTTTTCCTCAAATAGAAACCAAGGGAATCAACATCCTTTTTGGTCTGAACAAATACTAAAACCTAAAATAAGTGTGAAAATAAAAGTTTTAAATGCAGAATTACATTTATAAATTATAAATACAATAAATTAAATGTATTTATATAGTGAGCATTGCTTTATAAAGACATATAACAAATATTTATAGAAGTGCAAAATGTGTGTATGCACAGTTATAATTACAAAAATTAAACTGAGAAAAATCTTCTCCCTGATTCACCTGAGTTACCTCAGAATGAGAAAACCATCATGCAGCAATTCGCTTGAGTATACTCGGTATCTTCAAATGCTTATAACATAGATTAACCCAATCACTAGAGGTAAATATCTCCAGTTTTTACTGCAAAGCATGTTTTCCTTTCCCTCATCAAAGCGATTACTAGCAATCAGCACTACAAAAGAGATAACCACAGGAATTAACTTCAAGGAGTTCTACTGAGAAATAACACTGCTCTCTCTTCTGTAAATTCCTTGCGATACTTTAAAAATTATCTGACTATCGACACCACAGGGTTGCAGTTTAACATGTGAGTGTCAGGAAAAGAAACTAATTTTTAAGGACGACAACAAAAGTTTTCAGACCAGTTATTCCTCTGACTATCTATCTATTGCTACAGAATAAAATTCATTTCATTCAACTACCATTTAAAGGGTTAAACTTCTAAAAATAAACATAAAAAACTTAATTTTTTTTGTAACATACATAGATAAAAGGGATATTAAATCCAAATACATTTATTTAATTGATTAAGTTTTATACATAAATAATTTGGAGCAGAAACTATATTTTAAAAAGGAAAAGTACATTCAGTTATTATATCATAATACATTGCACATAAAATAACAATTTAATTTCTTCAAAAAAATTGTAATCAATATTTTTCAAATTATTGTGTGTTTATTTTAAGGCAGAAAGCCATAGTTAATATTCAATACTGAAACTACTTCTGATTTTTTTCATGCATCAAAAATATAAAAACTTAAAGGATATAATGAACTCATGACCAGTAGGACATAGACAGAAAGCAAAATCTCATTTTTATATTCCAGTTTTAAAGAGTTAAAGTTTAATTAAAAAATCTGAACATAAAATGTTCTTTACTATTAGAAAGTTATTATAATTAGGGAAATAGAATCAAATTTTGACTTTAAAGCATTTTTTCTAAAGTTCTGTGGTGCTCATTTTAAATTATAAGTGTGAACAACTGTGAACAACAACAACAACAACAACAAAAAAAAAAAAAAAAAAAAAAAAAAAAAAAAACCAATACAATAATTAGGCTAAAAAATCTTTTTTGTAAAAGAAAATATTTATTTTAAATAACTGTGTACAAAACAATGGTTTTAAAAATGTAATCCACTACTAAAGTAATACATTAATGTTTTTAAAAGAAAATTTGATTTATTATTTTATTTTATTTTGATGGTTTATTACAGTAGACTCCCGATTATCCACGCCTGCCGCACAATAGATTTTTTTTTTTTTTACAAGCGTAAAGCAAAATAAATAAAAATGTTCGCAAAACAGAGCAAAAAGTTAAATTTGCTAACATCGTGCTTATTTATGGCAAAAATATCCAGGCCTTTTCGGAACTATTTCCTCGGCCTTCTCGGAACCTTCCCCTCTGATGAGTAAGTGATTTCTTACTCACCCTTGCAGTGCCTGCTCCACCACCCTCTCTCGTCTTAATCTTACTGACATGTCCACTCCCTCCCTTTCACCATTGTTAGTTTAAGCCTGATAATGTTTGCGAACCGGTCGGAGTTAATTTCTTATCTTTTATTGTGTTCAGTGCTTGTGCTTTTTGGTTTTGTGTTTTTCGTTACCGATTTAAAATGTCAGGAAAACGAAAGAAGGTTGTGCTGACGATTGCGCAAAAACTAGAATTAATTTCCAAAGTAGCAAACGACGCTACAAGGCAGCAGATGGAATTGGATTATGGAATTGCAGAAACAACAGTGCGTGACATTCTAAAGCAAAAAGACAAACTGGTGAACTTTGTATCAATGTTGGGCAGTGCTTCCGCAATGAAAACACGATAAACTATGAAGGGTTCTACCTTTGATGAGCTAGACACGGCATTGACAGAGTGGTTAACTCAAGTTCGAAAAGAGGGTACTCCTGTAAATGGCCCTATCATTGCGGCAAAGGCAGAAAAACTTTTTTGAGTTGTTCGGCCTGAAAGGAAATTTTAATGAGTCTTCTGGCTGGTTGACTCATTTTAAGCAGCGACATGGAATTCAAGAAATTGGACTTCATGGGGAGAAACTTAGTGGTGACCAACAAGCAACCGACGATTTCCACCATGAATTTGAAGAATTTGTTTTAAAAGAAGAGCTATCTTTTGAACAAATTTACAATGCCGACGAATCGGGACTTTTGTGGAAATGTCTTCCCACTCGCACTTTAGCATTTGAATGTGAAAGTAAAGCGGCGGGTCATAAAAGCAGCAAGGAAAGGATCACTTTTATGTCTTGCAGTAACGCTACTGATGAACATACTTTAAACTTGGTGTCATTGGAAAATCAAAAAAAGCGAGATCTTTCAAAGGCACAAGGATAGAAAATTTGCCTGTGGATTACTTCAACAACAACAACAACAACAACAAAAAAAAAAAAAAAAAAAAAAAAAAAAAAAAAAAAAAAAAAAGGATGGATGAACTGAAACATTTTTCAAGAATGGTTCAAAAAAATCTTTGTTCTTCAAGTCCGTAAACATCTTAAATCGAAAAACCTGCGCTATTGATCGATAAAGCACCTTCTCACCCAGCAACAAGCGTGCTAAAGTCTTCTGATGGACAAATTTTTGAAAAGTTTCTCCCCCTAAACGTTACTGGGCTAATCCAACCAATGGACCAAGGAGTCATTGCAACAATGAAGAGAACATACCGAACCAAGCTGCTAATGACCAAAATTGAAGAAGGTTATGATATGAAAGAGTTTTGGAAACACTACACAATCTTGGACAGCATCTACGATATTGCATCTGCATGGGACTCGGTGAAACCGTCAACTCTCATAAAATCATGGAGAAAACTTATGCCTAATGTTGAAGCCAACAACAACCCCTTTGAGTTGTGAAGAAGAGAATGAAGATGTAGACAAGCCCACGGCAACTCTTGCCGATATCGTGAAAACAGTTCCAGATGGTGAGAACATCGATGCTGAAAACATTAACAAGTGGTTGGAGTGTGACGTCAACGAACCTGGTTTCGAAAGCTTGACAGATGACGAAATTGTGAAGAAAGCAAGAGGAGAGACCGAGAATGAAGGAAAGTGAAGAGCCCACTGTGTAGATGCGGAAGACTCACGAAGCGGCGGCCCACCAGCGGCCGAGTGGTAAAGTCGCTAAACACTGGTAGTTCGGTCCGAGGTTCGAATCCTGCGAATGGGCTGGCTGCATGGGAGTTTTCGTGGTTTTTCCCATGTGTAACGTGTATACGAGCCAGTTCCCCTTAGAAAGTCCTCCACGAAGGCATCCCTCCCCTTAGGCAGATAGCCCTTGATGCTTTGCCATAATCACACACACATGAAGCGGCTTTGCAACAAGTCGACGGACTGCCGAGCTATTTGGAAGAACAAGACGACGCGCAGTTGGCCAAGAAACTTATGCTACGAAAAATGCAATCTCGGATCAAAAGAAAATGCTTCCAAAGCAAGAAGCAATGACTGATTTCTTCAAAAAGGTGTAGTTTTACAGTTATGTTTTGTAATTACATAATACATTACAGTATTAAAACAGTACATATGTATTAATTTTTCTGTGTATCCCTGACACCTTTCGTAAGTACAAAGCACTTTTCTGTTTTCATTAACAAAATGCATTTTAGGTTAGTTTTGAGTGATATACTAAAATATTAAGCGTTAGTTAAACATTTTCTGCTGTTTATTTTACGTTTTATTGTACATAAAACAATTTTTTGAAGTTGAAATGACTGTTTTCTCTTTTGCTATACCCGTTTTTAGCTTTTTTCCGATTATCCGCCTGCGCCACCCAATTCCGCAGATAATTGGGAATGTACTGTTCTTCATTACAGCAAAGGAAATAAGAATAATATGCATAACAGGAGGTATGATTTCATAACTGCAAGTGACATTATCTATATTACACATGGAGAAAATCTCAAAAACACTCATTAATTCCAATTCTGCTCACCATATCAATTTTTGCGATCTTAAATGATCAGCAACCAGTAGGAATAATCTCATTAATAAAAAATACGTAAAAACAACGTTTTCTGTATTTATTACTAACAAGAAGCAAAATATTTCGACCATTATAGTTAGAAGAATTTGAAATTTTAACACAATGTAAAATAAATAAATCATAGTTGCCAAATGCCAATTTTAAAATGTGAAAAAGCAAGAGGTTCTCATACAAAAACAGGAGTTCTTGCAAGGTTTTTGCACTATATGGCAACACCATTTCAAAATAGCTCCAAATTGACTCACATTCATTTTATAATGCATGATTCAGATTTATGAAACATCTATAATTAATTCTGGAATAAAGTATATTAATATTTAATTAGATACTCTAAATTTGATATTTTTTGTAGATTTCAATTTGTAATTTTTTTACACTGTTATATTGAGAAAATCCTGGGTAGGGAAGATGAGCTTTCATTTATCAAATTACAGTGAAACCTCGATTCATGAATTCAATCCCTGAAATATTCATAAACCAATTATATCTGCAAAAATTAATATAAAATGGATTAATTTTTTCCTATATTAGAAATGCTTTATTTAAACTTACAGCAGTATTTTGTACACGAGTTCATAAGCCAAAATTAATGAAAATCATTAAACATAGAACAAAAAAGATAAACACAATATTAAACACATAAAACAGAAAAAATTAGTGCAAATTTTCTATATCTATGAGAAGAAGCAAGGATGGCATAAGTGGAAAATGATTATGTTAATGTGAATGCAAAATTCCCTTCTACAAAAACATCAGGTCCTTAGGAAGCATCTTCTTTTTACCTTTGTCTTTTAGGCGTGATTTGGCTCTGCTTGAGATTCATTGGGTCTCTGTTTCACTAAAAATTTGTCCAATGTAATTTTTTTGTTGTTTATATTTTAAAATGTTTCTATAGTGACACATGGCATCGTCATTAAAAATCTCTTGCAATAGCTTGTAAACTCATATGTTGATTTATCATGTTGATATCATTACAGGAAAAATTTGTATCTTACTCCCATTATACATGAATTTTATAGATTCCCGAACTAGGATAATATTTTTGTTCTTTTTCTTTCGAAGACATTCCTTACACTATCTCTTTTTGTTATTCCTTCTGAAGATGTTGCAGTTCTTTCTTATTGGGCTTAGTTTTATAGTCTTATAATTTGTCCATATCTGTTAGCCCATGGTGCCTAGAAACCCAATGTCCTAACAAAAAAGTCCTGCGAGCTCAAAATCTCTGCTTAGAACCCAATCTGGCCATAATTAATCACCCTGTTAGTCACCTGTTGCCATGCTTAGCTAAGGGATGAAGATATTAACCCTTTGCCGCTCAGTGTTCCACTACATGGCACAGCCCAAATTGAATCGTTTCTGAAACCTTTAAATTCAACCATAAATAGATAAAAATGCCTTTATAATATACATTGAACTTTTCTTTTTAAACAGTAGATAGCAGCATATCACAAAGAGACACAGAATTTTCATTTATTATGTGTTATTAAAATCTACTTTTTTTTCAAGTAATTTTCTCTATTTTTTTAATGATATAAAAAATTTTATTTGGAAAAAAAAAAAAAAAATTAGGCATAATTTTGTTGGCTGTACTCCAAATTATCTGTTCTATATTTTTTTTTAATCTTTCAGACTAAAAACCATACGCAGAATCATTGAATAAACCCTGGTGTTCCATTAGCGGGAACACTGCGCCTTTAGTGATCTTATGCTGTTACGAATCAGAACATCTGGGCTTAGGAGAGAACATCCGTTGTTTACATTTTCTGTTTCCGTTGCTTTGGGGGGGGGGAATGAATTCAAAGAAAGCAGTATTGAGGGGTGAGGTCTGTTTTGTGTTATGAAAATCCTAATATTGGCATCTCGAATTTTTTGGGATTAGTTTTTAGGCAGGAATTTTATTAGTAGCTTGAATCATCTTTACTTAGACCTGCGCGAATTTTTTGCTGTCGCTTTTTAGTCTCATTCCCGTTTATTTTCAATAATTATGTTATATATTTTTCGTGTATGTATATATCATATTCTTATTTTTCTTTATTCTTAATATTAACCGCAGTTAATTCTTTTATTATTAATTTTCTATAAATGGTGCGGAGAGGTCTAACTCTTTCCGAAAATTTGTAAATATTTTTGTATATAGGACTTGTGTATATAGATATTTATCTCATTTATCCGTATATATTCAATAATATTGTGTATATCCAGGAAACCATGTATACAGCCATAATACAGTTTTTTCATTCTTATACAAACGCTTCTACTCACTTTCGTGCTTCACTGCAATGCTCGCTTAGTCGCACTTTTAAAAGCTCTGGCGGCGCAGTGTTCCACCTCATGGAACACCTACAGAATTAAAACGGTAAGTGCATCTTTTACAAAATTTTACCTGTATACTCCTTTAGGACTAAATAGACTGCATACAACCATTTTGTTGAAATTCTGACGTTAACGTATAGTGCGCCGCGAAGGGTTAAAGTGTTTCAGAAGCTCGTATGTTAATTATGTGGCATAGGTTATCTCATAGTACTTTTTAAAATCATAAGTTGATCACAAGTCATTAAGTTTTCTTAAAAAAAAAAAAAAAAAAAAAAAAACATCTTTTTTGCCTGGATAATTGGTTTGTGATTCGAGATCTCTTTTTACTTTTAAATATGACAAAATAAAATTGATACTTAATGTACTTACTATTGTGAGAATAAATTAGGTAACATGCCATTTACTGATGTAAAAAAAAAAAAAAAAAAAAAAAAAAAAAAAAAAAAGAATACAAAAAGTTCAAACATTGGGCGAATTTTCATAAAAATCAGTAAATTAAGAAAATTCAGATCAAATAAAATTCAACAGGAAAAATTAACCTGATCATCAGGTGTGAAGAAATGCAGTCTGCACAAATTAAGGTCCATTTTACTCAACAAATTTCATTTACTGCTGGGAAATATTTTCCTAGTAAAGCTTCCCTTAGTAAGGGCTAAAAATTAAAAACTGGAAAATTCAGTGATCTAGCTGATGTGATGAGAAAAATATCATAAATAAATAAATGGGAGATTGCTTTTTAAAGTTTTAAATTTAAGATTCTTTTAAATACAGATAACACTCATAAATGTTTTCTATGCATATTCAAAATATAATGCTGATATGAAATTTCCAGAAATTTTTTTTATTAATGAACATGAAAACATACCTTTAAAAAATGTTGTAATAATTTTATGACTAAAACTGTTGTAGAATTTTATGTTAATCAACCAGTTATTATGATTTGAACTTTACTTTACATTCCTCTTACTGTAATCCTTACCAGAATACAAATTAGTTTCTGTGCACTTGAGCTGAGGGTCTGAATGTTTTAGGGTTAGAGCTTTTGACAGCTTCACGTTTCATGATGTACTATTGTCAGCTCTGACAAAGTTATTCAAATGCAAGCATCTTCCTAGCTGATGTTTAAAATATGCATCATTAGTTATCTTGAGCCAGCTTAATTAGTCAATTGTGTATGTAGTCTCAGAATATGTTACCTAGTTCTGAATTTGAATTCATCTAATTTAAATAACTGCTAATAGCAGAGGTTTGTCTGTTGCACAAGTAGTGCCTTCTGTTCAATAAAGGGTTAAATAAAAATACTTTTTCTACTTCCTTAACATTCATGTTTGTCATTTGTTTCAGACTAAAAGTGATAATTTGCTTCCAATACAGTAGGGTCTGCAGGACATTGATACAGGCATCTAGATACAGAAGAACCCTACACAATTAATGATAAATTAATTTTCAAGGCTAAGAAACAGATGCAAACCCACTGTAATAACAAACATTCATTTCAATAAATTTTAGAGCTAAAATTCATTTTACTTACTTTGTTTCCTTCTTCTACAGCTATTTTGTCTAACAATGACAACAAACTGCAACGAAAAAATGAATTTTCATTACTTAACGAGTTCTCATGATTTATTTTTTGAAGAAATATATTTTAAAAATCTTTCAAACTACGAAAATGTCATTCCCCCCTTTTTAAAGGGACTGTAAAAACTCTTAAATAACTTTAAAAAATGAAAGTATTGCAGAGTGTAATAACCATCTTCCAATACTTTCACATTAAAAACAGCAACACTTGAGAGTTTCTTTAACACAAATAATTCTTTTTTAATATATTTTCCCTTCAACAATACCTTTAATGAAGGCTTTCATGGCAAGTATAGAAAATCATTAAATGCAATTACCAGCCAAAAACTACCAAATGCAATTCTGAAAATTTTTAATGCTAAAACAATGCCACATACAATTTTTTTTAACATTTTTGCACTTTTCTGAGATGGTGTAATAACAGACTTTAAATAAAAGCAGACAATAGTTTCTCTATGCTTCTTTAGAAACCTCCTAGAAGCTTCAGCCAAGTGCTATATCAAGCACTGATGAACCACCTAGAAGCACTATTCCACCTAAAAGGTTCGGGCAAGTGCTATATCAAGCACTGATGACTAAAATTTCTAATTATGCACATGAAAGAATAGAACTTGCCAGCCACTTGTATGCTACTTCCTCACCTCACAGGATAGAGCATCTGAGGTGCAAAGATCAACATGTCCACTGGATGGCTCTTCTTTTTACAGATGAAATCAGGTTTAGCCTCCCAAGCCATACCAAGCATTCTCTAATTTAAAGGTATCTCTTATCTTCGAGAAAACACCTATGAAAGAGGTGATATGGTGGAAGCAGTGTCTCTCTGGATGAGCAGATGTCTTTCCATATGGTACTGTGACTGCTCAAATCAACACAGATGATATCCTTAAGGCTTATGTGGGCCTTAAATGCCACTGCAACAGGTGATAATTTCATCATACAACATAACATTGGCAGACCACAAAAGGCTCATATTTGTGCACGAATACTTTTTTAACAAATAATTCAGCACATGAACAGGCTAGCTTTATCTCCAAACCTAAATCCTATCAAGCATGTTTGGGATGCTCTACGGAGATATACTACTTTCTCAAGTTCAATCTCGCATACAAGCCACATATACAATTACTCTAAAAGAACAAAAACGTTCACTTCCTATCAACTTAACTGACAGTACCACATATGGTTTTGTGTTGTATTGCTACTTGAGATGATCATAATCCATATTTAAGATACTTTTCTAATACCAAACTAATGCATCAATTTTGTCAGTTTCATACATGTGATAATTAATATCTACTAATTTGATTTTGTACTATTTTACATGTTACTGGATGCTACATACTGTGACTCTTTATTAAAATCAACAAATAACTTTTTGAATTATCACTATTTTCACCATTTATCTTGAATTTATGAAAATAAGTACCATATATTCCAGTATATAATGCACATTTTTAATACAACAATTAAAATCAAATTTATGGGTGCATGTTATATGCCTGATATAAAAATGACAGGTTTAAAAATAAGGAAAAAATGAGCATACAAAAATTATACTTCAGCATGTACTTAACCACTGTTAATTTAAAAAAAATGACATACCTTATGAACTTAATTTTTTTTTTAATCAGATAAAAAGAAAAGTTTTAAATATTCGTCTTCTGCTATACTCACATCAGGCACATCATCGAATTCTGCTCCACCATTATTGTAACTCTTATCCATAAATCAATAATCATCATCTGTTCCATCTAAATTGTTAGATATACTACATGTTTTTAAATAACTTTTGAATCATGTTGGGTTTTGTTTCATTCCATGCTTTCATTATCCACTCATACAAGATTCTACAAGTAGATTATAGTATTTCCAAACTGGCACGAAGCCTTTGGTTTTTAAACTTTCTTCACTTCTAACATCCATTTATTTCACTATGATTTTAAATTTTCTTCCATCGTTTTATTGGTACACACATCTAACGGATGAACAATGGCGCTAATCTGCCTAGAATAACAGCATGATCAATAATAATAACAGCACTCTTTCAATAATTTCTTCATACTTGTATTATTCATTAGATGGGGTGTGAACATGTCCCAAACTAAGACTTTCTGGACTCTTTAAGGCAACAGGATGCTTTTGCCAAATATTTCTTAACTACAATTTCTTTCACACCATTTCTTTCGACCATCCTTTCTCATGAACATGAACGAAAGCACCATTTGGAAAATTACATTTCGGCATCTTTTCAAAATAACCATGCGTTTTAATTTTGTACCATCCGCTAAGCAGAAAAGAACTTCGGTGAGGTGAGATTTTTCATGACCTGCTATTTTATGTCAACCATTTTTGTTTCTCTCACATCAATTGTTTTATTTCCTATCATATCAAACATTACCGGAGTTCCATCTATATTTCCAATATGTAACAATAAATATTTCTTTTTTTGCCTTCATAGGTCAATAATATATTTCCGGAAACTTTCAATTTTTCATCCAAATCTTTTGGAAGCCTTTTCAAAACTTTTCTTTTTACTCGTGGAACAAAATTATTCCATGCCATAAGTCATTTACACCAACTCAGAGTTGCTTTAATGTTACCATTTTCATTCGCCACTTTTTTGGAGCGGTCTCACGGTCTGCCATAAGGCAAATAAACGAATGCTGTCATTTGTTACAATTAATCCATTCTGGTGATTTTCTTGGAACCCATTTAATGCTTTTTTTCTAGGATAGAGCATTCCATTACTTCTTTATGCAAAGCACGTTTACTCTTTAGTATAATCAGTGTGATTTTACATTTTTTTCACTCATGTACGCAGCTTTCACTAAGACCAAGCATACTTACTGCATCACGATTTCCATTTTCTTTCGCAAATTGAATAATTTGGCATTTAAAACCAGCACTGTTTCCCTCCCCCCCTTTTTTTTTGTTCGGCAGGAGCCATATTTACAATTAAAAGGACTATTACTAGTAAAGTAGCTATATTTACTACTGCCTGAAACCCTAAAATAAGTTTCTCGTGCACATTTATATTTAACACAACCCACTCTCTTTGCAGAATTATTTACTCTCTTAGGAATTTTCCCCCAAAACATATTGTTCCCCTTATTGTTTTTCAACTCAAATTCAGTATACCAATGTTCCAACACCAGGGAAATTCTTCAAATCAATGACTTAAAAAGACAAGAGCATGACACAGGTATTCCTTCGTAGTGTGTGCATTGTACAGCAAATGTACCTAAAAATTAAGAAATATAGTTTGAAATTATACGTGCACATTACACAGCTGTGCATGTTATATGGCAGAATATATGGCATGTAATGTTAAACAAAAAGATATAATAATATATGGTATCGATAATCTGCGAAAACCTGTCCTTTGAAAAACAGAGCAAAATGCAACTGAGATGGCCCTTGCAATACAATTAGAAGGCATAACTAATGTAATTTTAATACATTAAAAAGAGGGTAAGACAGAAACACCTATGAATTTTTGAAAAGAAACAAACTTTGTGAAGGACGGGGCTTGGAATATTGCTCAGAAAAGGGTAAATCTTGCAACCCTGTATCATGAGACATCATGCAAAACTTGGATCGTTTAATACAGCGGCATTCAAACTATGGGTCATGAACCCGTTTAAAAAAGTTAAGAGTCATAAAATTTATAGGTAGATAAAAATCCTAAAAGTCTGATTTGATGGTATGTAACTAATGGTCTGCCATTGTGAAATTGTTTTTTAAAATTGTTTACATTTTTATGGGGTTACACTGCCATAAAGTTAGATTGGTTTGGTTTATGTGACTATGGCAAGACTCGAGGGCTACCTACCTAAGAGGAGGGATGCTCTCATGGAGGACTTTCTAAGGGAAACTGGCTTGCATAATACACATGGGGAAAACCACAAAAGTGCCCATGCAACTAGCCAATTTGTGGGATTCGAACCTCAGACCAAACTATCAGTGTTCAGCGATTTTACTGCTCAGCCGTTGGTGGCCATAAAGTGTGAATACTGATTTAAAACATTCCTCAATTATTGATCAGGGATATTTCAGATTCTTTCTCTGATCCTGTCCCTAACACAATTAATAAATGCAGCTCTGATGAGCAAACAATTGATTTACAAAATAGTTTATCAGAATCCAATCAAGGAAACAAGATTAGTCACAAAACAAATTCAATTCTACTAATACACTTCATTTAAAATATATATTAATTAAAAAAGGCAGTGCTTTTCTACATGAAATTTTGATATTTCATAAAAGATGCATTAGAAAAATTGGACCAGCCCTACCAATTACATCTGGACAGACAATGTTAAAAATTATCATGAATTCAAAACTGCACAAAAAAAAAAAAAACTTTAAAACATTATGTATAGGTTTCTCTATGCAGCACATATTATTTTCTATTGCTCCTATTACCATAGTTATAATATCCAAATTTGTACAAGAACTTTATTATTTTATTATAAATAAATGCCCTGCAAATAAATATGCTTTGGGGTGATCTTTAAATGTAATAAGGAACTTTTATTAGAACAAGACATTTTCAAATACTGCAAAACATCTTGAATTTTGAAACTGAACTTCACTTTTCTGCTGTTATACGTCTTCTAGGAGTCTTAACCAGTCTTTTATTTGCTGCTCTAGGTTTTTAACGGTAGTAGTAAAGAAATGGTGTAATAACACCAACACCCAGAGGCGAAAATCATTCTTGATATAATCAGGCAATTAGTCACTCCATAGCAATTATACAGGCAGTTCGTATAAGCAATTATGATAAGCAATTCGTACATGAAATTTTAGGTAGGAATTCCAGAAAAAGCAGTACTTAAGAATATCCACGAGGCATAATCTTTAAGTTAGATGGCATAAATAAGCAATTAGTATAAGGATGGTAGCATTTTTGATAAATAAGTATTTTTATGATGCATTTCAAAATACCTTCACATAGAATACATAGACTCCAACTACTACGGATTCTCCGTAGTTTCTACGGAAATTCATGAAAAACTACGAGCTACGAAAAGTATGGAAAAAACTACGGATTTTACAGAAACAAGAGCAGGAGAACCAGTACGCAAAACGGAACCAACTAATTCATCCGATGATTGGCTGAATACTCGTGTTATCATATATCACGTGTTGAGTGCGTTCCTAGTTTTGAAGAATTAGCCAATCGTAGATCAGTAACTCCAACCGTTAACGACTTATCAATAGTTCCACCCAATTGTCTGTCTCCCAGGTTCCTCGCTGATGCGTGTTTAGGCTGCATTCGGCTGCATTGTGTAGTTTACGGCGAGAACTTAGCGTGTGTCTTGTGAACTGTGAATCAGGTGAAAGATTTTTAATCATAATGCTGCCTCGAACGAAGAAGCCAAAATTATCAAAGCAGAAGTTTAAAGATTCATATTCTTCAGAATTTCCATGCATTAAAGCGTCTGAAATTTCTGTGAATCACGCACACTGCAGTGTATGCAACAAAGACTTCTCAGTTGCTCATGGCGGAAAAGATGACTGTAAACGGCATGTGTTTTCTCAAAAGCATATAGAAACTTGGCACCGTAAAATCTAAAGAAATAACAAATTTCTTAATAAAAGATGATGAAACAGATCCTATAAAAAGCCGAATGCTATTTTGTTCGTTTTTTAATTGAACATAATCTACCGCTTTCTGTTTCGGATCATTCCAAAGAGCTTTTCAAAGCAATGTTTCCGGATTCTGCCATAGCAAAAAAATTTAGCTGCGGTCATACCAAAACTGCTGCTATTGTGAAAACGCTTGCATAAAATACTGTTGCTGATATTATAAAATCAGTGTGCAGTACATCATTTTCTCTAAGTACTGATGGAAGTAATGATAACAATGATAACAAACTGTACCCATTGGTTATAACATACTACAGTAAAGAAAAGGGAGTGATAATTACTTCATTGATTTCTATTTTAGAATGCACAAATAATACAGGAGAAGGTATTTTTAATTGTATAAATGAAAACTTTAAAAACAAAGGTTTAGAATGGAAAAATTGCTTATCATTTTCTTCAGATAACGCTAGTAATATTATTGCAAAGTTTAAAGGTGTAGCATCATTTATCAAAATGCATCAACCAAGTATAATCACCCGAGGCTGTCCGTGCCACCTCTTGCATATAGCTGCAAAAAAAGCTACTGAAAAATTAATTGGCTCAGAAATTGAAATGTTGATAATAGATATATATTTTTACTTGGAGAAAAGTTCGAAACGGAAGCATAGCTTCAAAGTTGCTCAACAAATTTTGGGACAGAATGCAAAATCTCATAAAATTTTGAAATATTGCAGTACGAGATGGTTGTCTTTTAGACTGTATAACAAGGATTTTAGAATCTATAACAAGGATTTTGGAACAGTGGGATGCTGTGATAAATTTTTTTGGAGATAAACCAGATAACAGTGAGAATGAAGGAAAGAGAGATTGCAAAACATTAAAAAAATTTTACAGTCACCGACCACCAAATTGTACTTGTTATTTTTGAAAAATACTTTGCCTTTGTTTATAACAGTAAATATTAATTTGCAACAACAAGCTCCTTATATACATAAATTGAGAAGAGAACTTTTTGAACTTTTAATGAATTTATTTGTTAGATTCGTAAAACCATCAGTAATTTCTAAAGAAAATGAAGATGTTACTCTAACGTCTATTCCATTTCAGAAGTATAGTAAAGAAAAAGAAAATGAAAATTTAATAATTGGTGTGGGAAACAAGACTTATATTTAAAAAATGCCAAGTTGAATGAAAGTGAAGTGAAATCATTTTTTTCAATTCTGTGCGAGCTTTTTTTTGTAACTGCATGTTCATATATAATTGATAAATTTCCACTGAAGTGATCCATTTCTAAAACATGCTGAAGTTGCTGACATCAACTTGAGAACTGAAGTCTCATTTTCATCTGTTCTTTACTTGATGAATACTTTTCCATCCATTATTGATGAAAAATGTCTTAATCAAGTAGAAATTGAATTTTCCATGTATCAAGTAGATGATTTGAAAGAAATTGTAGATTTGCGTATTGATATAGCATGGGGAGAAATTGCCAAATTAAAAAATATGAATGGGTGTATTAAATATAAAGTATTGCCTTCTGTAATGCTTGCGGTCTTAATAATACCTCATTCAAATGCAGCTTGCGAAAGAATTTTTTCTATTGTTAAAAAAAATCAGATGGAATTTCGACCAAATTTAGGTCTTAAAAACTCTTGAAGCAGTTTTGATTGAAAAAATAAATATGCAGGCAAATGAAGAACTGTGTTATAAAAACACATTCTCAAAATCAGAACTTAAGCTTGCTAAGCATGCTACATATAAATCTTTGCATTCATAAATTATGCGTATTTTGTTTAATACTTATATGTATCATTCTTGGTTATTTAAATTTTATTTCCCTGTAGAAATCATATCCAGAATAAAGATATGATTTATAGCTTCTGATTTTTTCTATGATTAGTAGTGATTTGAAGTACTTTTTATTAGTGAATGCTTGAGGATTTAAAAGAAAATTTCTAATTAAATGTGCATATAATTTACAAGTTATATTTTTAATTATTCAGTTTTATATGTATATGGATTTTAAATGTAATAAAATTGATTACAATTAATTATTAATTTAAAATTAATGAATGGTTAATTACAACATACGCTACGCCCACATTTTCAAAGTTGTAAAAATGTCGTTTGCGCGTTGACTACTGACAAAGTTTGCTGAAGGTTGGAGTCTATGAGAATATATATATATATATATATAATCTGCTGTTGAGATAAATTAGAATTCATCTGGAGCATTTTATTCTAGACTGAGCTGCAAAGCCTATATGCAATATTCTAAAAAAATACTGCTTACTTTACTGATTTTATAAATCTATTAGAAGAATGGTCAATACTTTCTGACTATCCACATTCCGACGGATAGCCACCAACCAAGTTAGTGACTTGGGGGAAAAAAAGCTACATTCATGGGCTTATATGCACTTTTCTATTCATAATAATAAGAAAAAGAAGTGCCTATTGTAGCCATCTGTGTTAATGAGTCTTTTGACAGTTTTGGAGTTAATTTTTATAGCAACCATTCTCATATATCTGCTGCATGTTTTACAGTATTAATTTTAGGTTTTATTTGATTTTTCAAAGGATAAATCTTCGGCGCCTTCATCTTAGCTTAGAATGCAGTCCAGAATTAAGTGCATTTTGAACAGCTGAATGGAACTTCCATCTATTAATACATCTAAGAGGCAGTCTTTCAAAGTTTAGCCTCACCTGGAGAAGACGAAGGGGACCTTACAGACAAGTGAACTAAGATCTGAAACTACACTAAAATTAATTAGAATAACTTATACAAAACTGAACATGATTCCTACAAATTTATTCAGTTAACAAGAACTTTTTTTCATTTAGAAACTTGGATTTTATTGACTCACATTCTTATTTCAATATGAAACCAAAGATTTTTTAAAATGAAACTAATACATAGCAAACTTACGCATCATCTTTATCTTTTTCTTCTAATACATAAATATTCTGATCGATGTTGGGGTTAGCAATAAGTTGTCCACTCCCAATGGTTACCTGAACATAATCAGTCAAAAATTCTTCAGCTAAACTTTGGATTTCTTTTGGCCAAGTGGCACTCCACATTAGAGTCTGGCGATCCGGCTAAAGAAAAAATAATTCTTTTAGCAACAGAATTTTTACCCTATAATGAAATTTTTATATCTATACTTGAATAATAAAATACAAACTATTTGTATGCATAAATATATTATCATTTATTTTAATAACCTGGGTGCATGATGAGTTTTGACTTCCTACACACTGCAGGCAGGATGGTCTTACAAACTAAACTACTTAAGATAACCATCAAGACACTTTTAGCTTCTTAAACTGAAGCTGAAATAAACTCATAAGTGATCTAGATCAAAAATATTCGATACCGCAAAATGCAGAGAACGGCATTCAAATATTTTATAGGACAAAGTTAAGTTTGTTAAAGATCGTTACAAATCTTTGTAATTTAAAGATTTGTACGGCAAATAAAGCAGCTTTCACAAAAAATACTTTTAAAAATGTTAGCAATATATGCATGGCATTAGGCTTTACTAGTAAAAATTACAATACTTTGGAAGTCCCTCCTGCCTATTTGCAACTGCCAATTCAATTACCGTAATTTCGCGCGTATAGTCTGCGGACTATCTGTGTTTAAAATGAGAATTTTTGAAGCTGTGGACTATCCACCAGTGCGGATAATATGCTGGTTGTTCACGGTTAAAATCGTTGAAATTTAAAAAACACGCTGTCGTGAACTGCCAATGATCAAAAAAAAAAAAAAAAAAAAAAAAGCGCGAGATTCCAAGAAAACATTCGTATGTGTCGTATCGATAGTAAACCATAGAGCATAGTGCAGAACGAATGAGTAGTAGCAAGTAGAGCTCCTAAAATCCAGGATGGCGCATCAAGCAATGCCGGGATATGAGCCAAAGAAAGTCTTGTATGAGCACTCACTTAGCGCAACCAGAGTCTTGTATCCCAGTATCCTTCGCACTGCTTTAGCGCAACTGCCGAGAGGGGGAAAAGTAATTGATGCGTCAGCTCGGTTTTTAGGAGCCATAGTAGCAAGTACCTGGAGTACGGGAAAAAAAAAAAAAAAAAGCGTGATTCGTTTACTTATAGCGTGGTTTCGCAACACCAAGTGAGTGTGGTCGAAGGTCACATTTCATTACCACTTATCACGAGTATAGCACGTTGCACAGTATTTTGTCTTTCATCTTCGATAACGTTGATGAAACATCGGAGTTTTACTGCTGAGTTAAACTCAAGGTATTTGAGAAAGATGGAAATAGAGAAGTGGGCTGTTATTGGTTTAATCCTAGTATTCGGTGCACACGGGATTTGGCTACTTTTGGCGACTTTATGATGAGCAGTGAAAACGGGACATATACGATGAGTAGTTAACGGGTCATTCAAAGAAAATATATAGTTAAACATAGTATATACTATGTGTGTATATACATATACTATGTGTGTATACTATATATATAGATGTTCTTTGGATCATTTTTGGTGTTGGCGATAATTTTCAAAGTCGCGCCAAAGCTGCACCGTATACTAGGATTTTACCCCATTATTTTGAAGTGGACGAGAAAGCAGTGAGAAATTGGCGCAAACAAAAGGATGTGTTTAAAAAGCATGGGAATATTGCCGTATTAAGAAAACGTAATTTCGGACTTATAGTCTGTGAACTATCTGACGATTTTTGAAATTTTTTTTATATAAAATCGTGTCTGCAGACTATACGATGGTGCGGACTATATGTGCGAAATTACGGTACCTTAATTATTATTCACTATGTTCGTATACATTTCTGCACATGGAAATTAAGGACTTTTAAGGACCATTAATGGAAAAAATTAAGGACTTATGAGCAAATGGGAAATGAATAAATTCAATTAAAAATATTATCCATGCCTGAACTTCAATTTGTAATACCATCCTAAAAATAAAATAGATCCGTAAGTAGGATGCATTATTTTTAAACATAACGTAATTAACATAATTATTAATAAGTTTGAGAATTAAATAAACATTATGAAACTTATCAAGTAGCATTAACAGGGTTCATAGACACATTTTAGTTAAAAAAATAAGCACCTATAAGCACTTTTCAAGCACATTTTAAGAAAAAAAAAAAAAAAATAAGCACCTGTCTAATTACATAATACACAACTGCATAACCTTAAAAATTAGACTTGTAATTTAAAATATGAGAAATGAAGTACTTATTAAGAGAGAATAAGCATTACCTCAACCATGGAAAATAATTAGTTTTTTTTTTTTTTTTTTTTTTTTTTTTTTTTTTTTAAATTTTAAATAATAGTTCAACTTACAGAACTAGTTTACAGTGAGAGAAAAAAGAACTATGAAAAACTAAACTATATTACAAGCTTTAATGATGAAATTTCAGATCAAAATACAGAAAATAAATAATAATAAGGCATATTTATTGTATTTGCTTGGAACCTAATAATAAATGCAATTTATTTTTCCACTAATATTGATATTTAAATAATTTAAATCTAAATTCTGAACATTTTCTAAATTTTCATTGTATATCAGTTTTCCCTTAACAGATATTACAAGCGAAGTAATTTAAGTAAAAAAGAGGAACATTTCTGAAATCAGAAGACAGAAATTTGCTTCATGCAGTCATCCTTTAACAGCAAAAGCTTTACTAACCCGCATACTTGGAAATTGCCGAATATTTGGACAATCGAGCATAACGTGAAAAAGAGGAGCAGAGGGGGCTAGACTGTAGCCGCTTTTTAAATTTTTCCGCTAAATAAATGCTTTTGACATTTCGATATGTGCATTATATAAAAATAAACAAACGGAACTATAAAATATTCTGCTTAGCAAGCACAGTAAAACTCTTTTAAGTGTTCATAAACAAATCTCGAACTGAACATCAAAATTAATTATCTCTGCAAAATATCGGCCCTACGTCATATTACGCAATTGGAATCAACAACTGCCGGTATTGGGAGAATAAAGAACTAAATAACTGGGGTTTTTCATTCTAATTTTCAACAGACGGCGTTAAATTTCCGTAATAGAATCATTCTTCTGCTTGGGTTGGTAGACCGCAGAACTTTTAGTTCCTATTCAATCCAGATTGAAAAGTGACAAACAAAAAACAAAAAAAGGGGGGGTCTGTTGCTTGTTTTGCAGCGAACTGTAATGGTTTCAATATTCGAGATTTTGTGCAGAGAAAGGGGAGACCTCCCCAACCCTTCGTACTGTATAATGTATTGGCCAACAAAATGAAATTAAAGAAATTTTTGACTATTCGATTACTTTCCCTTTATTTAAGCCATTCCGAATATATGAATATTATTCCTTAGAACGCTAATCTGTGTTAAAACACACTTGCCCATTTTTGGACAGTTTACTAATACTTCAGCAGTTACTGCTAACTATACGTTAATTATAAACATTAATACATATGCTCATAATATAAGCATAATGATCATATTAAACACGAATATGAACTGACCAAGCAGAACGAGAATGCAAATTTTTAAGATCTTGATAGAAATTCAAACACATTGTTACGAATTTGGTATTTAAAAAGCTAATGTTAGGTCAATTAAATCGTTTTATTTCCCATGCAGTGCAGCGCGTGACGAATATTAAAAGAAGAAAGCTAAGCTGAAAAATTAAAAATAAAAGAGCACGTGCATTTAACATTAAATAAATAAATATGTCTTTTGATTTCGAGAAAGTACCAGAAAATTCTTGCACGCGATTTTAAAAATCTTATAAAAGGAGGAAAACCTCTAAGTTTGTAGTAGTTGCTTAGTTTGTTGTTGTTTAGAAAACTGCTTTCATTGATTGTAGCGAATTCGCGGATTAGCTTTCTTTAGCTGTTTTGGAATTAAGTTCTATTGAACATTTGAGTAGTTAAAAGATAACTACTGTGAGATATTGTAATACTGCACGATAATTTGAGGAAATTTAAGCACATTTGTTGTGATAATAATAAATTTTCTTCATTTTTTTTATCGGACTTGTGCATTCATTTCGTAACGAACCCGTACGCACGCAACAATTTTTGGTGTCAGGAGCGGGGTTTTGAATGCCAATTACAAGAGCGATGGAAGAACAATTCAGGCAAATGATGACTGCATTTACTGCTTTCCAAGAAAAGATGGAAGGGGCTGTCAACTCCGTTAAAGACGAGATGAAAGCAGGTCAGAACGAAATGAAAAGAGAAATTACCTGTGTAATAGAAAATAAATTTGAGGCTATGGAAGGCAGAATAGATGCAGTCGAAATTAAAGTTGGACAAATTGAAGAAAACGTTTCTTCTGTAAAAGAGCAAATAGAAGACTGAGTTTCAGCCGTGGAACAACAAATGGGTTACAGAGTTGATTCAGTCAAAGAAGAAATAGAAGGAAGAGTTTGTTCCGTTAAACAACAAATCGAACAACAAATTGATGAGAGAGTTTCTGTAGTTGCCAAAGAAATGGATACTTTAAAGAAATTCGTAGCGACGGCAGGGAGCAGGAGTAATGATTTTAAATTCTTACCGATGCCTGCTCGTCCATCTCTAAAGCTATCCACATATGATGGGAAGACATCCTGGCAAGTGTATAAGACCCAATTTTTTATAGTTGCGGATGCGAATGGATGGGATTCCCAAGCTAAGGCCTGTCATTTTGCCGCTTCTTTGAGAGCAGACACAGCGGATATCCTGCAGACTCTTCCCCCAAACCAGAGATTAGACTTTGAAGCTCTATCGGGCGCATTGGAGCTGCACTTTGGGGAGAAGTGTTTAAAAGACTACAGCAGGCTCCAACTAAAATCCCATCAGCAGAAGCCCATCGAAACACTTCAGGAGCTTGCCACGGATGTTGAAAGGCTGTCATATCACACTTTTTCGGAGTGCCCGACAGAAACAAGAGAAATCCTGTCCCTGCAGTACTTTATCGACGGCATCCGGGATCCTGAATTACAGAAAGCTATACGAATGGCGGATGTGAAGGATATAAAAAGTGCTCTGTAGTAAGCCATGAAATTCGAGGCAGCCCAGCAAGCAACTCATAGAGACCGCTACCCAGTCAGAGCTATGCGAGTCCACAAGCCAGTGGATCAACTGA